GCGCCAGTATTCACTGAGGATTTAATGAAACAGTGACAAAAACCTACCAAGATAGCTACTGTTGACAAGGCTTATGAGGATTTATATTAAACAAAATCAACTTGTATTTTATTTAACAATATTGAGGCTAGAAAGAGGGCTGGTGGTAGCTGACAGACTTTCAAGAACACGTTTACTTTTACAATATTCAGATTTTACTCACTTTATTTTACTTATCCTCTATTAATCACAGATGATGTGGGATTTTATTGAAAATTTACAATTTTGATAAAAGCTTGAGAATTAGCACCGCTGCATCTAGTCCTTAAATATTAAAGCTGTATTGAGAAATATATCAGTCTAGTCTAGCCATAGCCAACCTCCTGCCTCCAGTCTGTATGCCAAGCTAGGCTAAACATGTCCTAAGCATAGTCCTGAAATTAATCTCAATCTTCCCACATAACTTTAAAAACAAAAGCTAAACACCTTGTCTCACCTTTAAACCATGCTCCTGGTTTGAACAAGGCCTTCTTCAAGGCACTGTACAGATGAAAGTTCAGTCGCTTGTACTCCACAATATCATCTCGTACTCTGGGCAGTAGCACCAAGTTGTAAAACCTCTGGGCCATTCGTTCTTTCAGATTGGAGGAGAAGATTCTATAACAAGAGCAAGAAAAAAAAAAGACTATTTTATTGTACCATGTTAAAATATCTGCAGTACATTTTGATCATTCTGTGAGTGTAAAGTAATACTCCAACCAAATGGGGACTCACCTTGTTGCTTGGTACATAGCAGCTGCAGTCCAAGTCTCAGGCTCAGTCAAATACAGAACCTGTTCCCAGTTTGAAAGTGCTGGGATTATTTTAAAGGCCTTTGGCAATTTACCACTGCGATATTTTGACAAAACCTGTAGCGAAAGAACAGGAATGGCAGCTAAAATTTAAATGCTCATCACACTTATATTCAGGCACTAAAACTGCTAGCTAACTATCAGAGATTAGTGTGTAGAGTCATTTTTGTTGCTCTCATCCACAGGATCTCTAAATCTACTGTGAGGTAGCTACTGTCAGCTAAGATTATCCATCCTGATGTACCAATGTCAGTAAAGTGAGATCGAAACGACTTATGCAACTTTTTAGCCAAAAAACGAGAATATGCAGGTAAATATAGCACACACCTCAGACAACCTGTCCCAACATTCAACATGAAGTGACATGCCTTCACTTTCTCTATAAATACTTATGCATTCCAGCTAGAATGTGATTGTTTCTTGTAAGCCCTCCCATCCTTCCTATCTATCTTATCTTTCTCTGTCCTCTTTTCTTCCTTTCTGCCAACCTATACATATCCTCTTCCTTCCTACTGTTTTCCTTGCTTCCATATGTATCCACCACTCCCGAGAGCCGTGTGTATTCTCCAGAAGCCTTGCCCAAAATGCTCAGCAAGCAGCAACAAAGTTCCATGCATAAGCACAATCATCCTTCCAGGGTCCAGCATGGGTAAAATTTTGATAACCCACAACTACAAAGCTCCTTATCTGACCCAAGCAGTTACTCAAGAGTTATTTCTAAATGAAATCCAGACCGGACTCGACACATTAACATAAGACCCGTGATCGGACCCATAATTAAAATAGACTTTAAGATACGCAGTCACTTAGTTGGGAGTTGTGTTCTTGGAAAAGTATCTGTCGGTGGCTGCAGCACCTGGGCTCTGCAGCTGTTCCTTACTGAGGATGTGCCTATCTTGCAGCTATTAAATGCAAACACTTTTCAGCACTATTTACAAGCAGCAAAGCCACTGATAACGCTTTTCCCACAGTCTGTAACCACACAGAATTTCTCCCATATGCCCGACTTGGCCTTCAATGATGTACTGTCAACAATTTTGAATTCACCACCAGCTATTGTTGCTTTTAAGGTAATCCAGTTTGACACACTGACGCCTAGTCTACACATTGATGTCTGAGTGATGTCCTATTAGCCGGAGATAGGTTGAGGGATCAAAGGCTGTGTCATACGCTTTCACAATAAATGTATCAGTTATTCAGGCTTGATAAAATTATTCTGGATTACAAGTTTAAAAAAAACAAAAAAAAAACGCTCTTTTATTTATTTAAAGTATGTTTAAGTATTTTAAGACAACGTACCTTACTAACACCTCTGTACACTTCTACTACCCTCGGATCCAGCTGGGGCATCGGACAGCCGGACACCTCTGACATCACTGTTCCTACCTCAGTCTGCTTCTCTGTGATCTTCTCCATGATAATATCAGCTAAGGTCCGTCTACAGGAACCACCAGGAGAAAATGCAGCTGAGCATTTGAGACAGATTCCACAGTTGAATCACTGGGTGAATCACCATGGCTAGTTTCAGGATAAAGTCAGGATTATATATTGTGTCTTGCCTCATTGGAGGGTTCGTATTCATGAACATCTCAATGGCTTTCTCATCATCAGGGTCAACGACAACTTCATTGTAGCACTCAAAAACGCCATCACCAGCATCTGCATCTGCATCTCCCATTTCTGGCCACTCCTCATCGGAGTCTGCTTCCTGAGACACAGAGCCTAAAATTTGATTAGAAGACAAATTTGGTCAGTTAGTCACTTCATAGTCAGGTTATATACCATAATGGAGCTCTACAGTCTTAAATATATTTAACAAGTATACTACAGTGTGTATGTGCAATATGTCAATATCTTAAAAAAAAATAAAGGTAATTTGTTGAAACATTTACTACTTTTCTGTCAGAAGACTGAATGTGAGCAGTAATTTGGATTACTATCAAATTATTTCATATATTTAAAGCTATTATTTTCTACACTGACATAACTTACTAGAAGAATGAAAAAGATACTAATTTCAAATGCTGAAGAGATTTACATGAATTGATCTGTAGTATTAAAATTAACAAAATTATAGCCTCAGTCCATAGAATACAAGGGGTTTTAAATATAAACCAGATGAACAAGAACATGGACAAACTATGTGGGCACCCAAACACTACAGCCATATTAATAGCTGAATATCTCATTCCATGAGCATTAATGAGCTGTCATAAGTGCATACACTCTTCTGGGAAGGCTTTCAATGTGATTTTGGAACCTGGCTGCATGGATTTGTTCCCATTCAGTGTCAAAAGCATTAGAGAGGTCAGCCATTGATGATGGGTACTTGCTGTTCAAATTCCTCTACAGATGTTGGAAAGACCTGAGGTCAGGGCTCAAGAAGGCTCTCAGGTTCTTCCGAGCAAACTCAGACATTTCTTTATGTACTTTCCTTTGTCTTATTCTTATAAGAGGAATGGTAGATCAACAGGGACCCAGCAGTTCAAGATTATTAATCAGAACTAAGAGGCCTCACCCAACTACATTACCTCCATACACAAATGTATATGTTAAGTGACATCCACATACTGTATGTTTGACCATGTGTCATTTTGGTACGTAGTGCAGGATAAGTCTAAAACATTTAAAACGGCAAATTTCTCACAAGTGTTATCCGTGTCCCTGTATAGCTCACCATCAACCATCACACCCAACTCTATTCATATATCTGTCAATTTAGTGTAATTCAAGTTAAACGTGTAGAATGATGCGTTAACGCTGTTGTAGTTACCGAGAACAGTAACTGGAGCTTTCTTCTGTTGTGGTGCAAGGCCATATTCGGTCTGAAGCTCCTCTTGTTGAATTCGGGCCTGTTGTAAGATCTTCCGCGACAGTCGTTCGTCTACATACTTATCCTCGTTTTCTGCACGAGTGTCTCTGGGCTTCACCCGGCCTCGGGCTCGTAACGTGTCCGCCTGCAGGATTTGGTCAGCCAGCGGAACCGCTCCTCCGCTCTTCTCTCCTCCCTTTGCTTTGGACTTTTTAACTTTCGGCATTACTGCGGTATGACGAAAGATGTAGCTAGAATATTGGAGCGTGGAATCCTTTAGCTACTGTAAACAGCTCCTCGGTCAACACGTGTAGAGGGCCATAACGAGGAAGTGACGTTTTTACGTCACGTGCGGCGTCGCTAATTATGGTTAAATAACCAAAAATGTACCCAATGTTAGCATTATCTGTGTAATATTAGGCTGTATGAATACGCAACAACACTAATTGTCAGCATTCTTTTGTCTGTTTAAAAGTTTGAATGCGCTGTTTTAACTTGACCGGAAGACTCATTTTTTCATCCGGAAATATTCAACTGAAAGGCTGAACTGCAACTGGAGGCAAAATAGCAATGGGGGTGACTTGGTGAGATGACTATACTATGTTTATTAGTATTTTGTTTTGTTTTGTTTTTACCTATATTTTAAAAAATTAACTGCTTTGGAAGATTATTGTCTAAATTTACGCGGCCTTATATTCAAGCTTCACGTCTAAAACACCGCACATGTTTTTGTCTCTTTGCCTCGCTTTCATTCACACGAGAGCAGCGTTGATAGCATTATGTGGTCATAATAAGTTGAAAAGCAGATGTTACAGATTTTGTTGGTGTGTCCTAACTTCGTGCGGGTCTCTGTTTGAGCTGCAGCGTGTGCCAGGTGCCGGTGGCGGAGGGTAAGAGCGTCCAGCAAACAGTGGACATCCTCCACAAGAAACTGGAGCAGCTGGGTGCTGTGAAGCAGGGCAGCTTCTGCGTGGACTGTGAGACATACACAGGAAATGTCAGCGGTAATATTGATTTGCCTGCTCTTTAGTTTTAATTCTCAATATATAAATGAGCAGAAGCAACATCTGAGAATATGAGACGTCATGAGAAACGTTTTACAGTTCAGGAGTAGCTTATTTTCGTTAGTTTCAGTGCTTTAAAATTCAAACCACTGATCGACAAAGAACTTTTGTGCTTTTCACAGTTTTACTGTAACTTGGTCGGTTGGAACTAAACAAGCTTTAAAAAACTTTACTTTGAACTCTGGGAAATTGTAATGGCCATGTTATAGTTAAAAATATATACAAATATTTTCTAGACTGAGTTATTGATGATAAAACAGTCAACTGACTATTGATAATGAAAATAATTACCAGTAAGTATCAGCCCTAATCTGTAAACTTAGCATCATTAATAATTGTTTAAGTGTTATAGCTGGTCTACTCTCATAGACTACACTTTCCACTTGCAGCTAGCTGTTTCAAATGGCGTATTTCATATTTGACTCTGATCTAACTACACTATCCATTGTATTCAAGTAAAATTATCTTACAAACTCAGCAAAGTGACAGTACTGTACTTAAATACCACTGACAGTCAGGTTTGCCCATCTGTTACAGGTCAACCCTCCAAGCTCTTGTATGTGATGCATAACTCTGAAACTCCCTTGAGCTGCATGGCTCTGTTTGAAGGCGGACCCTGTCTGGTAGCTGATGCAAACTTTGACGTCCTTATGGTGAAGTTAAAAACCCACTTCCAGAATGCCAAGGGGCACAAAGTGGAGTGTCGTGGTTCAAGATATCGCTACTGTGACTTCCTGATAAAGGTTGGTACTGTGACAATGAGCTCCAGTGCCAGAGGGATATCAGTAGAGGTAGGTACACACAGTTTGAGCTTGTTAGTGAAAATGGAGATACTGTATTTTATCCCCTCTGTGACTACATTACCTATTGGTGTGTCTCCTCAGGTGGAGTACTGTCCCTGTGTGGTTCCAGGGGACTGCTGGAATCTCATGAAGGAGTTCATGCAGTCCTTTCTTGGCCCTAGTGTCCCTGAACTGCCATCTGTGTTTGCTGCCAAGCCTGAAGGTCTCTTTGCACCAGCAGACTGTGTTGACACCATGACTCAATACCTGGAGTTGTTCAACAAACTTCGAAAACTGCAAATCCCAGGAAGTAATGTGCGTTGAATTGTCACTGGGAATGAAAAGATCTATTTATTTATGTTTGTAGTGATGTTGCTTTAGTTCTGGTCCTATGGATCAGAAGGTAACCAGGCTTTTTTTTTTAAACCAGGGGTTTTTATTTTGATATATGAACTCTGTGTTGCATCCTACTTAATGAAAGCATTTGCATTCAAGAGGTGTCATGGAGAGCATTAGCTAGAATCTCTGTATCTACCATGATCCATCTATCATACTGTAAATTACATGACAGAGATCTCTGCTCTGTTTAATTTCACAGTATATCTACACTAGTAATCAGTGTGCACAATACCACAGCTAATATTTTTCTTGTCAGAGTAGGAATATTACAGGCATTAGCAATAACAGCAATAATGACTGTTCTTTTCAAGGGTCCTGACAAACCATGGCCATTGATAAATGGTATTTAGGTGTCATCAATTTTATTATTCAGACCTGTGCTTTTCCTACTGTGATCAGGCAAAATTTCTTCAGTGAAAAAAGTAAGACGTCAAACAAGCCACACAGCCCCGAGGAGATCTCTAAAGTCAAGCGAAATAAGTAAAAACACATGATGGGTGTGCCTTTGTTTTACTGGATCAGTAATAATTGTCCCCTAAGGTAATGCATAAAACTCAAAAAGCTGTCAACACTTTTGATACTGAGTATATTTTACTGATATAACTATCTTATCTCAGAATTTCAAATAGATTTGTACTTGTAACTGTGTGTTTATGTGGTGGTATTGCTACTTCATGAGGAAAAGATCTGAATAATTCTTCTACAGATGTTTGACAAGTTCAAATTTCCATTGTAAGAAAAGTTAATTAAAGGATATGTAGGGAAGAATATGAATAAGTGGACAAAAGGTTTGTAGAAACATAAGAGTTCTTTCACAGTGCATCTACACAAGCTCAAGCAAGTGTGAGAAACGCTGCAAAAAACTCATGTAAACAGTGACCACATTTAAAAGTCACTTGGGGTAGTGTTAATCTGTTATTAAACCATCAAATCGATGCCTTTCCATTTTATAGCGTTGTCATGATATTGAAATTAATAGTTTGAAAAACGGTAACCTAAAATTGTTGGGATGGCGATCTGAAAATTCTGCAAAGCCACTGGCTATTCTTCCAAACTGCAGCAATGTGCTGGATTACTACTTGGCACCAGTTTCAGCTTGTGTTAGAAGTATTTGCAGAAATAGAGGCCCCAGAATCTTCCATATGACCGCTTTAACACCAGAGTCGACACTGTCCTCGAAAGCTACACATCCCCAAATACATTTAATCGGGTTGGCACAAACCAGATGAAACATGGTGAACATGGTGCTTTCGTGGAGACTGTGGTCAGAAACTCAGGGTTGCCCGCTTTGCAGTCCTGCCACGGTTCTTGTTCCATGTGGCTTCGGTGGGTGGGTGGACGGACGGACCATCCTGCTGACTGTTGTTCAGCCATTCCGCCAATAAGCGCCCAGCTGCCGTTCAGTCCCAGTCCAATGAGAACAGCGGGGTCTGGGCTCGGATAGAGAGTTGGGTTGTTCAATCTGTGAGGAGGACAACAATCAGCTCCGAGTGTACCGGATGGATGCATGTTGGCGACGGTAACGTTACCTAGCTTTTCCATTACCAGATGTTACAAATGTACTAACAAACACAAATCGGGCCCGGCGGTAACGTAACAGTTACATCTCATTAACCGGCTTTCTGTAGTGAATGTCACCTAGGGAGTTTTTAAGGGATTCACGGCGCAGTTCGCTAGCGAGCTAAGCCGTGCATCGTTAGTTAACGTTAGCGACCAACAACAACCGTTAGGTTAACTTCGATTGTCCTCAGCAAACGCGTTAGCCGTGCAGCTAACGCTAGCTATCAAGGCAAGCTAATAATATAAATGTTAGCTACATGGTGCCAGGAGAACCATCTCTGTTTAATAAAGTACATCGTCAGTTAAGACATGGCAAAAGGCTAAGCAGCGCCAGCCTGTGCAGAGTTGCTCTTGCTAGCGGTTAGCAGCATTAGCTAACTTAATGCTTGCCGGGCAGCCTCAGACCAAAGTTGTTGGAGGTTCCTGGAGAGTGGGTCTAACTGTTCTTTGTTCTGATTGAACATGATGATGGTGGAGTAGCTTAGCATGGCGTTAACAGCCAGCTAATCCGAGCCAGGCAACAGGCTTTAAACACGGACAGATACAGCTGGGATATTAAACTCTAACATTTGTAAATATCAACGTCAGATGTGTTAATAGACAGTAATAGACACGCCGCCTCAATAGCACAACATACTAGGTACTAACTACTGTTGCTAATGAATATAAAGCACTTGCAGCGACTTACAAGTTAATGGTCCTGGTATTAAAATGTTGGTTTTATTAATAGTAACGTTAGTGGATGAGTTACACAAAGAGGAAAACAAAAAAGCAAAAGGACTTGTAGGCTACTGGTGGGGCAACCACAAGTTAAATGGACAGCAAGTCCTTCCCCTTAGTGTCAACATTTTTGCTTGGCTTTTAATATCTTCTCTAAGTTGTGTTTCAATGAGTTGGCATATTTTCAGTTAACATTACCAGCCCACATGTGAAATTTTTCTAAGGCACCAGTGCACTATAATAACCATACTGTGAATGATTTGAACTCAAAGGGTTGCCAGTGATAGCTACTATTTATCCCATCTAATATCAAGTTTATTTGTGTAGCTCATTATTACACACAGTAGTAATATTACAGTATACATCAGTATCAGTGGTGTACCAGCCAGTCCCAGCTCTCTCTATGTGTACTAAAGGAAAAACCTATACAAATCATGAAACACAAAAGGTCGAAGGGCACTGAATGGTGCCGTCTGTTCACTCTTGTACATATCAGGTAGTTTTTTTGTTTTTTTTTAACCAAATGGTGTCATTTCTGCTCTATACATATATAGAGTCTCATAAACTCACATTAGTGGATAATGTTTATTAAAGCATGTATTTATGAGAAACTTTAAGAGAAATGTGTACTTCTCTGGTGAACAGTCTGCTTGGTAAATAAATAATTTGCTAAATAATTACATTGAAAAGCTGCAAGTGTGCTTTATTACTTAGATTTCCCCCCCTGTTTTGCAGAATGCTCCTGGTGGTACTGGTGGTGACAGTGGGAATGCTGGAGTTCTCTGCAGATACTGTGATGTATTGTCCCAAACCTGATCAAGAAATCTGCAATTACAGTAAGTATACCTTTTCATTTTTTGCCACTTATAGAGTTATGTTTATTAATTTGAACAATTCACACTGATGCTAATGTACACAATAATAAGAATACCATGTATTTATCAGTCCTGTGATCAGATCTTAATTTTACTGTATTTTTTCTGCTGTAACTCTTACTTCAGAATGAGTTGCTGCTTGGCTACAGGACGTGTGTCCTATCACTGAGGCCACATGTGTATCTGGAGAGATGGATCGTTGTAAGCACGTGGGACGCCTTCGTATGGGCCATGATCATTCTATCCTCAATCCACAGAAATGGCAGTGTGTGGACTGCAGCACCACCGATTCGGTGTGGGCCTGCCTCAAGTGCTCCCACGTGGCCTGTGGACATTTCATGGAGGAACACTCACTCAAACACTTTCAGGAGTCACACCACCCGCTGGCTATGGAGGTGCGTGAGCTGGATGTCTTCTGCTTTGAGTGTGGAGACTATGTACTCAATGACAATGTAGAGGGAGACCTCAAACTCCTCAGAGGGGCACTCTCTACTGTCCGGAGCCCAGGTAGACGCTCACTTCGCTCCTCGACTGGGGGAGAGTGCACCCCCTGGGTCGGGGAAGGTGGGCCACAGCCCGCCATGCAGCTGGCCTTGCGTCACAGGAGGAAAGCGCTCCTGGGAAAGATGTTTCGGATGTGGATCAGCAAACATCAGGAGTTGCAGAATCAGCGTAAGGAGAAACTTGAGGAAGCCAGAAGACAAAAGAAAGAGGTTAAAAGGAGACTCATGGAAGAGCTTGGCAATGTACCTCCCAGAAAGAGTGCTAGGCTTCTTACTCAGGGGCCACGTTCAACCATCACACTCATTCCTCGCAAATTTCGCGACCCTCCAGAACGTCTACCTCCTCCTCCCAAGAAGCCTTCCCCTCTAACCCTGTCCCGTAAGTCTCCTCAGAATGGCCGAGCTGCTAAACTGAGGAGATACTACTCCACACACACGGTAACCCGCCGGAGACTCGCTCCAGGTGTCACTGGGCTGCGCAACTTGGGGAACACATGCTACATGAACTCAATATTGCAAGTGCTGAGCCACCTGCAGAAATTCAGGGAGTGTTTTCTCACTTTGGACCTGTGTGAGACTGAGGAGCTGCTGGCCAAAACTAATCGCTCCCAGGGGATGAAGGGAGTGACAGGAGGCATAGTCAGCAGTGGTACCACAGCACTGTCCGGATGCCCTCTTGGACGCATGGGGAAGGCGGGTTGTTGGAATTTGCCGGTGGGCAAAAAAGAAAGTGCTCCGCCTTCCCCAAAGGCTGCTGAGTTGGTCCAGCCTAAGGAGCCTCGCTGCTCTACCCGCCAGCAGATGTCTCTGTGCCATGAGTTGCATACACTTTTCAGGGTCATGTGGTCAGGCCGGTGGTCTTTGGTATCTCCTTTCGCCATGCTGCATTCTGTGTGGAACCTCATACCAGCTTTCCGAGGGTATGACCAGCAGGATGCCCAGGAGTTCCTGTGTGAGCTGCTGGACAAGGTGCAGCAAGAACTGGACACAGAGGGGTCCAAACGAAGGATAGTTATCCCCATTACAAAGAGGAAACTATCCAAACAAGTGCTAAAGGTTCTTAACACCATTTTTCATGGGCAGCTACTTAGCCAGGTGAGACTGTCAAACATCCCACAGGTACCTAATCATATTATTTGATGTTAAACACCCAGTGCTTGTATTTATTTCACAAGTCATGGTTATTATAATCAGTCACTGTTGTCATTTGTCT